ACTAGGGTTTGAATTTGAAATTGTGGTGGTTGGATAGTATATGGGTTGGTATATAATTGATTTAATTTTATAATTATTATAAATTTAAATTTCCACCTGATTTTTGAAAAAAAAATAGTTTTATACCTTATGTTTAAATTTGAAAGTTTAATGGCAGGATTTTGTATAAATTTCCCCTAATTATTTGTCATAATCAAGAGTTAATACAAACAGTTACCCACATGGTTTGGGTCACTTTTAGAGTCAGTCAGAATTAAATGGACTGTTTAGTGGCCTAAGTCTGTTATGTAGGACCCATTTAGATTATTTGATCCACCGACAAGTGGACTATGAGCCAAATTACTGTGCAATACTCTACTCCAATTTTTACACATACTAGTTTATTGCTCGTAAGTGTTTATTTTAAGATAATGTTAAGAATTGACAATAGACATATACATTGAAGATTCATTGAACTAGTAGGACTGTAGGAGGACCCAATCAATTTTTATTTTGCTTTGATAGTTACATTTTGGTCAAAAATGTCGGCTTTTTCACTTATACCCTTATTTGAGTCTATTTTTCTAAAAATTTATTTTTTTCAAAATTCATTTTCAATAAGACATACTTCAATAAAACAATATTACATGTAAATTCAAAATCTATATTTAATTTTTAACCACATATTCTCCATTAATCTATTATTCAAAATGCATTCTTTCCCCAAAAAGGGGGCTCAAACACACTCAGTAGCATTTTGGTAAAAAATGTCGGCACTTTTCCAATAAAATATTTGAAATCTATAGTAGATGTAATTAAAATTTGATAAACTTACTCTACAACATTAAATGTTCTCGATATTTCAAATGTTGTTCTTGACATATTAGATGTCTAGAATGAAATTTCATTTCGAATATGATATTTCTCTACACTTGAAACACTACCAGAAAATACGGCTTCAGCGAATTATGACAGATAATTGATCTAGGCCTGTATAAGAATTCAAAATTCTGCCAAATTATGACAGGTTTCTTGAACCTAGTCATCATAATGATAAAACAAAGATGATGGTGCAAAAGTAAGCTAAATCTTTCTCTGGAATTTCAACACAAAGTTTTGTGAATCGTTGTGGAGAAAGTTGATAGATATTTTAATAAAAATCCATATTTTAACTTTTTCTGATCTATAAGTGAAGTTACTGATTTAAAATCATGTCTTATTTTACTGAGGCGTGACCCAAGTCCTAATCAAAGAGTATTATATGCTAACATCAGAACAAGTGGGTGCAGTATGGGTTGATAAAGACTCATCTGCAAATGTTTGAGCTTAGGATATATCAATTTATGGACATTCAGGTTATGTATACAAAGTACAATATTACTACGGTTGTTATGATCCGCTTCAATACCCATTACTTTTTCCCTAAGTAGAACCAGGATGGCATTAAGGTGTTGAGAAGATAAATGTGAATGCTTCACAAGTTCAAGTACGTGATAATTTATTAGAAGTTAATAATGTCAATTCAGAGAAACAACTTTTGGAAATAGAAAATCATGATCAACTTTACTAACGATAGTGTTGTGTTTTTTATTAGGTTAATGTATTTCACAATTGGAAATATTTTTTTTTCATTTTTTTATGTTTATTTTTTACAGTTCTCAAGGCAAGGAAAAACGAACAACCGTATCATGTCGCGAGTACTATTGTTACAAACTACAGATTGGGTCTTTAAATAATTTTGTACTTTTACATGCTGGTAGACTTTTACAACAATATGGAGTAGATGTGTATGTTAAAATTGAAACATCAAGATTGGATTATTTTTGCAATAATCAAATGGTTATAAGAGTTGAACTTTACCACGGAATTATATACATTGTACAGATGGTGAAAATAAAGGTTATAAGATTGGTAAATCATTAGTGCGCCTATTGGGTTTACCGGGGGTCCTAAAAATATGATTAAAAGATACATGGATGCAATATATTTAGTTCAGAGATATGGAAACCTGATATCTTCTTAACAATAACATGTAATCCAAATTGGTCTGAAATAAATGAAGAATTAAGACACAATGATGGGATACAAAATAGTCGGATCTGTTAGTACGAATAATTCGTGCTAGGCTTGAAGAACTGAAGATAGATTTGCTTAAGGATGAATTGTTAGGTCCTATAGCTGCATATATTTATGTCATTGAATTTCAAAAAGAGGATTTTCACATGCTCATTTCCTTCTAATATTTAAACGTAGTTTTAAGATTCGTACCTCCATGCAAGTTGATGAAATTGTTTTTTGTGAAATACTAGACCAAAATGAATACCCTCATCTACATACTACTGTTGTAAAACATATGATGCATGGTCCTCGTGGATATTTAAATTGTAAAAATATTTGCACAGAGAACAATCATACGTGTAAGAATATATATCCAAAGAATATGTTCTAAAAATTTTATTAGGTAATGATTTATATCCACTTTATAAATGTCGTAACAACGGTGTAAATGGTAAAATAAGAGGTTCTATGTTAAATAATAGATGGGTTGTACCATATAATCCTTACATTTTAGCTAAATATGATTCTCACATTAATGTAGAAGTATGCTATTCTGTTAAAACTATCAAATATTTATATAAGTATGTAAATAAGTGACATGATTTTATTTACTTTACTATGAATAAAGAAACAAATGAGTACTATATTGATGAAATTTCAAATTATCAAATAGTTAGATGGATATCTCCACCTGAAGCTATGTGGAGAATTTTTAGTCTCTTTATTTGATATGTCTCCTAAGTAGTTTTTCTACAACAAAACAAATGATTTATCAAAGGTTATAAGTGCTTTTGCTTTTTTCATGCACTTGTTTTTTCCATTTTTCACAAGTGTGTGTGTGTGTGTGTGTGTGTATATATATATATTTTAACATATTCTCTCCATTAAACTTTCTAGATGACCCATGTAGCAAGCTTTAAATCAATGACTCTCAAACCAGATGATTTTAGGGCACTAGATTTTTAAATACCCTTACAGGCTTACTGACTTGAGTCAAAAAGGTTTCGAAGAGAATAAATTTTTTAATTTTTTTTCAAGTGCAATTTCGTCTCTAATTGCTTTCTAAATGACCCCTGTAACGAGCTTTAAGTAGATGGCTCCCAACTCACACGACTTTAGGGCATTAGATTTTAAGATACTCTTACAAACTTAATCACTCGAGTCATAAAGGTTTCAAACAGAAGTTTAAAATTTTCAAATGTATATGCCTTGATTAGTGCAATGCTCCTTATCACACACTTATTCAAACAAACCGACCTCTAATTTAAGACTTTCGTCGAGTTTTATCATGTTAGTTTAAGACAATCCACACATAAATTTTTCACACATGGAATCCACATTCACATCCGTATCTTCCTATAACTATAAAGTCACCCCCAAACTGTGCTAAATTTGGTCTAAGGATAGATAATTTATTATAGTTTAGGTAAAGTATCTATGTCCCACTAGATTAACCTATCCAAAGCAAGAAACAACTTATTTAATTATAATGTCAAACTCAATTCTAGTGCATTTGTAATATCAAATTTTGTAAGGTCGAGTTTCAATTAGTCTAGCATGCATCCTATCCACAGTTCATAAGTCAACACCAAATCTCAAATTAAATCATTATTGTCAGCCAGACTGTCTAATCCACACAAGCATACAATTGAACAAAAAGAGTTGTTTTTTTTTTTAACAAACACACGAAAACATAAAAAGATAAAAGAACAAAAACTAAAAGTTTTTTCACTCCCAAACTTAAAACTGACATTGTTCTAAATGTCATAAACCATAAATAAACACACAATGGGGGTAGAGAAGAAAAAGAAGAAGGTACTCCCCAAATTTTTCTGTTGAATGTGTGAGGCATTATATGAGACGACTGGATAATATTCTTCATTGCTTTCCTTTGGATCTATGTTGGTTTGAGTGTTCCACGACATCATGTTCCTGAAAAATCAAATTTGACAAATTAAAGATAGGGAAGAAGGGTTACTTAGCTCAAACAATCAAAATAACCAATAATAAATTGAAGGGCCTGAGGGCAGAAAGGATATGGGTTATGACTCCTAAAAATTGAAACGTGTCTAGTTCTAATGCAACCTAGTAAACAAAACAAAACTATATGCTATGCGATACAAAAAGTAAAATAAAAAATTAAAAAATTGGGTTGCCTCCCAATAAGCACTTCTTTTAAGTCATTAACTAGACTTTGTGTTGCTATTATTCTGGTACAGCTAGGTCAATGCTCTCTTTAGCAGTGGGGAAATCACCAGATTAATTGACGGAACGTGAATAATTTGTAAAATTGATTCTGTCGCATGTTTTTCTCCAATTAATTCTTCCAAAACTACCTCCAGTATCTCTCTCCAAAGCTCCTTCCAATTTGTGTGTAATTCGATAATTTTCAGCACTGGACAACCCCCCCCTTTTTTTGATGTTTATGCGTGTGTATGGATATCTTTTTGGCTCCTCACTCCACCGTCAATATTTATTCTTCAACAACAAGGCAACCCTCAATTATGTGTCTCTCTCTATGATATGGTGTGTGGAAATTATATAATAATATTGGCTCCTCTCTCCTCAATTCCCTTTGTACATTTTTTTCTCTAAAAAAAAAAATAAAAATCAAAGCCACCAAATTTGACTAAAGGAAAAAAGTGACTCCAATTGCTCTGAAATACGTGCGTGCGTGTGTGCTTCAATTTTGTATGAGAAATATAGTCCTCGTTTGACCCCATTACCTGAAAATGAAAATAGGGAAACAGTATTTTTTTGAAAAATGAGTTGTTGAAAAAGAAAGAAAAGTTTTCGATTTACTTGTAATATTATTTTATGAAAAATTGTGTGATTGAAAATAAGAGGGAGAAAAATATAATGTAATGTAATTTAATTTAATGGGGATTAAACGGGGCATAAATTGGTTAGTCCTCTCCTCCTCCTTTTTATTGTTTTCTGTGCACATATCACTACTACCTTAAAGAGGCAATCCTGTCATTTACTGTTCATTTGGGAAGTATTTTCGATTTTCCCATTTTACCTTCAGCAATGGTTTATTTCTTATACCTTCTTCACCTCTTCTCTTTGCCTCACATTCGTTCCTCCCTTTACAAACTACAGAAGAACCTCAAAATCTACCCATAGCCATAAAAGATTCCCCACAGATCTCGTTTATCTCAGCCCCAAATTCGTTCTTCCTCTTTCGAACTATACAAGAACTTCAAAATCAAAAGAAAATCCTAAAAAAATCCCCATAGATCTCGTTTACATCTGAGAAATCGAAATCCTCAGAAGACCCTTTTCCTCTTCTTTTGTATTGTTGTCGACGAAGTGTTATGGAGGAAGCTATTCTTCTTTCTTCATCGCCGTTCGATTGCAAGCTCACTACACAAACAATTACCCACAGAAAAAGTTTAGTTTTTTCGATATGTTTTACGAATCTTGCTCATGTCCTTTATTTTATACTTTCTACTTACTTGGGCATTTTTCTTGGTCAAGCACTTCAGCTCCTAAAAAGCTTATTCACACAAATTTGATATTCTTAGGAGTTGACAGATGATGTGGCCGAGTTTAAAAGAAAATCATCACTCATGATTCTCACATGGGCCTCTCCACTGCATCGCCAGTAAGTGGTTTTATTTTTCTTGAATATAAATTTTGTATTTTACTTACTGGTGGTATGAATCCAATATTTGGTATTCTGATTGAACATGGGATATAGTTGAACCCAGTGATGTGAATTTTTTGGAGTACTGTGAAATTTGGAGAGTAGAATGAGGTGTGTTAGGCTGGATTGTATTCGGAAGATGTTGAACATTATCCTTTGGTGTAATTGTTATATTGGTTTTGTACGTTCTACCACGATACCACTATAATTGGAGGATTTGTAATAGTATTTGACTTATATAAACCATAGTCTGTAATTGATTGAATGGGGAAGCAATGTAACAGTTCTTTAGAAGTAGATACATGTACCAGGGTTCTGGGGAGGATTATTGTTACGGCGACTCTACTTCTTGTATTATTATATGCCCTTCCATGTTATATTTTCAGTGATTTCACTATTTCGTAGAGTTAGAGACCAATCCGTGCAAGCGAAAAAGTTGTGGTATTAAATTCAATCAATACAAAGATTATCTTATGTGAAATTTTATTGAAGAGAAGAATCAAAAATTATTTAATTGGTTAAAGTTCACAACATGGTGCATGATGAAAGAAATATTTTGTTGGGAGATATTTGGAGGTTTCATATGCTTGTCTTTTTAACTTATAAGTGGGAATTAACTCAAATAAAAGTCTTCTGTGGCGAGGTTAAGTAGCAATGTTGTTAGATTGTCAAAGTCTACATTGTTTTCTGCTCTTTTTTACGCCTTCTGCTGCATAGAATCCCATACTTATTCTCTTGATAGTTTATTAGGGGGAATATGATACATGCTTGTTCTTTTGAATCCCAAGCCAACTTGTTTGTAATTGTTCCATTTGTATTGTTGATTCCATTGTGTCATGGTATTGGTTTCTAAATGAATTTCATATCTTATATTCACCACTACTTTTGTGGGAAGTGCTTGTAGATTGCTAGAAGCCAAAATGTATCATTTGTGTATGCATTGTGCCATAAATGTGCCAGCCTGAAAGAAATACATTTATTGTGTTCAGAACTACTTTAAAATGTTCTAGTCCGCCGTGTTTAACATTTGGTTAAGCTTTAATAAAATAATGCATATGTTGTGAAATGAATATAACAAAAGATTTTATTCTTTTCAAGAAACACAATATTGAGCAATTTTTAAATTTTTATTCCTCAATATTTTATCAATGTATCGTTGTTTTCAAAAAGTTTATAGTGTCTCAATCTTTTGGCCCACTGTAACCTGTGGTTCAATGGTAATTTTCATGTATATGTGTGCTCATTCTTGTTGATATTTTCTGGTGATTTATTCTGAAATTTTGTATTATTTCGACCAACTACCTTGTTTGTATTTGTGAGGTCCTATCCTTAACGTGCTTGAATTATTCTGAAAATATCATGTAGGGTATTTCCTGAGTGATTTATTAAGTAAAAGAATATTTTCTATTTCAGGTGGAGACCATAAATTTTGCACTGGAGGAATTTCTGGACAAGAATGAAATAATTCAAGAATGCAGATCTCTTAATGAATGTCTTATTAAATTGTAAGCTTCTGATTCTCTCATCATGCTAAAATTTTATAATAATTGCTTTTGATTCTTCTTTATTCCATTTTATATATAGTTCTAGACTACTACCATATCATCCCTTTTAATAAATTTCCCTAGCATAATTTGGTCACGAGAACAATTTTTAGCTCATTGTTGCACTAATTATTTTTCAAGCTTTCAACCAAGAGCAAGTCTTGCGAAAAAATATACTAGACAAGAAATTCGAAAGTTCAAGAAATTGATGACACAGCAATGGGATTCAGGCTTCTGAGGTTGCACGGGTATAAGGTTTCTGCAGGTAGAGTTTTTGACTTCTAGAAATGATGACGGCGAAGTAATGTAAATGACAAAAGTACAATTCACCAAGGTTTGTTGGGATTGTATCATTTCTTTTGGATTAAAATGGCAGAAGTAATGTTATAATTTCACGAAAATCTTATCTATAAGTATGCTGGCGTGTGCTATTTAGGGAAAGAATGTATCTGATTGTTGTTGTTTTGCAGGCGAAGTGTCTAGCATATGCAAAATGTGTTCTTCAATTGTCTCTAAACTATCTTTGTTGCATATAATTCTGAAACATAGGATGACAATTTTCTAGGATCTATGAATCTTTGTCACGAGGCAAATATGTGAAGCGGCCAATTACATAATTAGTTTAAAATGCATTTAAAAAAAAGTAATGATATTTATGAGTAAATAGGCAAAAATTGATAGGTTTACGTCTTTTTGATATGTAATTATTTTATGAATTTCTTTGTCCTATTTGATACCCTATAAATCATGGCATTTAATTAAAATTTTACGAGTTAATAAATGTTTTTAATGAAATTAATGTGAACTTACGATGTTCATCTTTGACATGCTTTATATGTTAACCAATATGTTTCCTCATTTTCAAGGATTGGTGCTTGCAACCCTCCTTGTCATTACTCCTTGTGTTGTGCATCAATGCAATGTCACTTATGGACTCTTGAATGGTGAATGAGTTTTGCTATTGTTTTTTTCAACCAAAATGTTGCCTTGTGCAAGAATTTGGGTCTTGAGGAAGGATATGTGGCAAATGATATTTAAAGTAATGGAACTACTTCGTTGTAGTTAGTTTATTATATGTAAAAATATATTAGCTTAATAAGAAAAAATCTCTCTCTAACTCGCCGTGTACGGAGACTTAGTCTCCATGTCTCCGTACATTTTTTTTAACTTTATAAATAATTATTTTTTTATCAATTTAAATTTCTTTTTAATTCTTTTCTCTTCCAAATAAAACTTAATCTTTCAGTTTTAATGAAAAAGTTACTTGTAAGTTAAAAAAATTGAAGAGAAAAGAATTAAAAAGAATTTTAAATTGAAAAAAATTATATATAATGTAAACTAAATAATGTAAATATAATAAAAAAAATTAAATTGAATTTTGCCTCCGTGCACGGAGACATTAGTCTCCATGCATGGAGACAAAAATTTGTTTCTATTTCTTTTTTTATTTTTATAACTTTATAGATAATTTTTTTTATCAATTTAAATTTCTTTTTAAATCTTTTTTCTTTTAAATAAAACTTAATTTTTCGATTTTAACGAAATAATATTTATATATTCTTTATTTAATTTTTGTAACTTTCTTTTATTTTGTTTTTATTGTATTTTTTTTTGGGAAATGGTTTTAAATTTCTTCTCTTTATATTATAAATATTTTTTTCGATTTAAATTTCCTTTTAATTCTTTTAAATCGACAGTGTTTTGTTCCATTTTATCCCACTGTAGCATTTTTTAAATGTGAAAATCATGCCTTGTTTCTTTTTCTCTTCTCTCTGTGTAATTCCTATCAAGAATCCACCAAAAAAAAAAAGTCTAAACAACATTCGATTATAAATTACGTTTTCCAATTCTTAAATTTCTTGACAAGAATTGACACAACCAAAGAGAATTAATCGATGCAAAATTAACTGATAGTTAAAAGCATGATAACCATCTAAATTTTTTAAATGTGAAAATCATGCCTTGTTTCTTTTTCTCTTCTCTCTGTGTAATTCCTATCAAGAATCCACCAAAAAAAAAAAAGTCTAAACAACATTCGATTATAAATTACGTTTTCCAATTCTTAAATTTCTTGACAAGAATTGACGCAACCAAAGAGAATTAATCGATGCAAAATTAACTGATAGTTAAAAGCATGATAACCATCTAGAATTTACAGAATCGAACAAGATTCTCATTTCTAAATGATAATGGAAGAGCAGATTGTATTATAATTGAGAGCATGAGAATATAATTTTTTTTAATATGTATCTTGTATTATCATTTTGCTGCTGATTTTTGTTCATTGACACGTTTTCAATAAATTTGACTGTAAAAAAGGAATAATCTTAAAATTTCTCTAAAAATCGAAAATTGGAGTTGTTATTAGCTTAAAGAAAAAAAAAAGAAAAAAAGGGAAAAAAATTTGAACAAAGTGCATGGACTGCACTCTCCATGCATGGAGAGTACACGTGTGAATCATTGAATTTAACATCACAGGGATCAATTATCAAAAGACAGTACACATGCAACATTGAATTTCTGATCAATTATATTAACAAAAGACAGCTCCCATGCATTGTTTTTATTTTCCTAGTCATATTAGTTTTATTTTTGGCCTTGTTAGCCTAAACACCAACATTATGTGGTCGGATTTTCAGTTCAATAGATTTTTTTGAAATTCTCCAATCGATGGAGAATTTTACAATTTTGATACGTTGTGGATTGTTAACTTGACATTTACATGAATTGTACTTTTCATGGGTTCTTCAGTTGGAGAATCTTTTCAAGGAGTTTTCTTATTTTTGCAAGGTTTTATGATTTTTCTTTTCTATAAGGTCAATATTTAAAAAAGACAAATAACGAGGGGGCAAAACTCATATGTTTTTAAAAAAATATGATATATATGTCATTAAAGTTTTTTTTTTTTAAATTCTTATTTTCAAAATATATATGAGATCAAAACATAACTTAAGTAATAAGAGTGAAGTTCTATCGTGTCTATGGCCCGAATTTAAGAGGGTGTTTAACACCAATTTTTATGAAAAAATGAATTTTAAAATAGTAGATTGATGGAGAATATGTGGATAAAAATAAGGAATTTTTTTTATTTACGTGTAATATTATTTTAATAAAAAATGTAAGGTTGAAAAGAGGAGAAAAAATGTGAATCAAACGGGGCTTAAATTTCATTTAAAAGGGATGGGTTAAACTAAAAAAAAAAAAAAAAAAAAAAAAAAAAAAAAAGAATTACCAAAAAAAAAAAGAAAAAAATTACAGGCAAAAATAAAAAGAAATAAAAAAATTTATTATAAAGTTTTTAAATTAAATTGAAATAATTGAAATTAATAATAAATATTATTTAATGAAAATAAAAAAAATTACGTTTTATTGTGAAACGAAAGGAATTCAAAAGAATTTTAAATAAAAAAAATTATTTATAATATGAAGAAAATAGAAATTTATAAAAAAAATTCAAAAAATTATAATAAAAACAAAATAAAAGAAAGTTACTAAAATTAAATAAAGAATATATAAAAAAATATTTTGTTAAAATTGAAAAATTAAGTTTTATGATGGAGAAAGGAATTTAAAAAAATTTTAAGTTGAAAAAAAAATATTTATAATATAAAAAAAATGAAAAGAAAAAAGGAAAAAAAGGGAAATAAAAATTCCCTCCATGCACGGAGATAAACCCTTTCGTACACGTAGAGAAATCCATCCATTTATGGAGAGATTTCTCTCCATCCATAATGTGTCCAACTCCACACATAGTGGGATGGAGAATTCTCTCTATTCCAATTTTTTTTTTTTTTTTGGTAAATAATTTTTTTTGATTGAAAAAAAAAATTGTTTTTAATTTTTTTCTTTTTATAATAAAACTTAATTTTTTAAAATTTTAACTAAACAATATTTCTAAATTTTTTGTTTAATTTTTATAACTTTAATTATTTTGTTTTTATTATATATATATATATATTTTTTTAAATTTTTAAATTTTTTTTTTCTTTATATTATAAATACTTTTTTTCGATTTAAAATTTTTTTAATTCTTTTTATTTTACAATTTTAGTTAAATAATATTTATTTTTACTTTTAATTATGTCAATTTTATTTGAAAAGTGTATAATAACTTTTTTTTTTGTTTCTTTTTATTTTTGCATGTAATTTTGTTGTTGTTTAATTTGTTAAATCCTTAAATTTCTTTTATTCATCAGTTGGATTGGATAAAGTGAAGTAGTGTGTGAAAATGGAGAAATACTGGATTGGAGGTGACCATGCACGGAGTCTGTTTTACAAATATGAATATATCATATTCCTCACTGATCCATCGGCCTTCATCTCTCTTCGCCAATAATTTTAACAAATAGTTATATAAAATAAAATCAAATATCATACAATATAAAGTATAATACCAAAAAACTACTCAAAGTCAATAGATATCTCAAATGATTCATAACTATATGACCCATGCCAAAAAATTCGAATAACATAAATTGCAATTTCTATCTTACAAATATAACATGACATAGATTATAATCAAATAACACATAGATTACAACTCTCAAAAGCTAGATAAAACGCAATTTTTTTTTTTAGTTTTTTCAATTTCAAGTGTTAATTTTCGATCTTAGCCAAAATAACGTTCATTGAATATTTTGAATTTTAATTTGATTGGGTTTTTCTCTCGTATTGACATTTAAAAAAATAAAAAATTATTAGTAGTTTTAAATCAACATGTCCGACCTTTTTTTATGTCACTATCCATGTAGCTTAGAAGTGCTTGTAAAAACGAGTGATGTTGGATTTCACAATTTCCTCAAATTCATTTAAGATCTTATGAAACTTTAGGAATAAGAATTAAAGATCCAAACCATGCGCAATAGGGGCAAAGAATTAGGGATCTAAACCACGCGCAATAGGAAAAACCCTATGATTATCCTTGTATTACCATGAATTAACTTCTCCAAATAGTTTTCATCGAAGAATTTTATTGCACATTTCATTCAAGATGAGTAGAAAATTATGCCATAGTATTGAAACTATTGGTAAAGTGGTAAACCTTTGGAAGTTCGTGAGGAATAATGTTATCATATAGATGTACCATGAAAACATTTATAAATTAACATGAACATTCATAGTGGTGCCGGTGCTAAAATCAAATTATTGTTCTGACTTCCGAGTTTCAACATTATGCACTCCGATGATTATTATCTCATGGGTAAAGAGTTGCACCAGTATTAACAATTTTTGGATAATATAAATTCTATACATTCCATATTGATAATAACATAATAAATACAATCGTCGTGCATCACACGAGACAAAGACTAGTATAGTTAAAAGAGACGTTTTATTCAATAAAACAACGTGAAAGCATATAAGTACAGCAACAAAGTCCTTTGCGTACCCAAATGTGAATTGTAGGAACAAAAGCTGTACAAACTTTTCCATGAAAATTGGATTCATCGGTCAAATAGGAGCCTATAAGAGATGGTATGCAAATAAAGCTCAAAACAAGACATGGGGATTATTTATATGCAAATGGAGGTTTGCCTCCTTCGAGAAACTTGATAACTCACAAT